AGATGTATATATATGATATGAGAACAGTAGGGCCTGTAGATAGGAAGTATGTGTTATTTAAGAAAAAATATAATTATATTTTCAAAATGAAATTTTTTTTTTAAGCATAGTTTCTGGGGTAAAACGCCCCCAGGGGGCATGACCAGGGCCGGATTTACCTCTTTTCGTGACATAGGCAAAAAAAATTGTTGGGGAAAGCCTGGTATTCCTTGATTGGGAACCATATACATATTCATAGGCTGCATGGCTGCCTTATCCTTGTGGTGAAGACAAAAAAGATTTGCACATTGGTCAATGACATTTTAGCACATAACATGAACATAACCTTAAATAGTCCTGCAGCATGGCAAATTATTTAGTACAAATTAAATGTAGGGTAGAGTGTTTTTCCCCAAATAACCACTAGCTAAAGTCAAGATAAAAAATGTTTGTAACTATGAACTACGACAACCACACATCAAGACATTGTTCATATGATTTGTTTCAAGATATTTGACATGTTTCCATCCTGAAATGTGTTGAACTATTTTTTAAGCACCTCATCCCAAACCAAATTCCAAAACGTCATTTTAGAGCTAATAACAGAGGCTTGAGCCATTGATATGCAGGCTAATGCAGTTATTAATGCAGTCTAATGCAGTTATTAGAGGGAGAGAGAGAGAGAGAGAGAGAGATTAAGCGCGTTTGAATACCTGCGTCTGTGCATCTCTCAGCAGTGTTCAGCAGCAGCATCTACTAATAGCGAATCTATAAGTTAAACTGCTTCAAGAACCTCCCTACTGAGAAACGTCATGTAGCTTTTCAGCTGCGAAACTATTTTATTGATAAATTTGCGGGGCGGCATTGACGACAAGTTTCTGTCAGCGTGTCTGCACGAGTGCGTGTGTGTGCCTCTGTGAGAGAGAACCGGAGAAAGCGCGATTTCCGTACATAAAAAAAGTGGAAGACATGGAAATAGTTTGTCATTTTTTACCCTATTGTTTGTTAAATTTATTTGCTCAATGTCTTCTGAGGTTTTGGTTCTTTTATTGTTGTAGATAGCCCATAGTATAACAAAATATTATATCTCTTCATTGTGTTTGGGCCCCCCTGGACGAGCGAGCATAGGCACGTGCCTAAAATGCCTATGCGTAAATCCGGCCCTGGGCATGACTTAATTATTGTAGCTACTCTGTTCTGAACATCATATCCTTTGTTTTTCCATCAAATGTATTCTAACTAGTTGGTTGAATACAAATATTTAGACTTTATATTAAAAAATTACCTCAAGTTGGCATCAGGTAGCTAATCAGGTGGCCAGTTAGCATCAGCTAACAAAATTGTTCAAATAGGCTATTATAATTTTGTAATTCATAATTATTGATTATATTCTTTTTAATTTTAAGCTAAAACTGCCTGTACTCTGATTTTGCTGTAAATGTATAAATCAAATTGCTTTGTCAGACTGGGGGGCATTTTACTCCACCCATGGGGGCAATTTATCCCACCTGTGGGGCAAAACGCCCTCTTGGTACACATTTATTTTTTTGTTAAAAATGTATGCCATTGTCACTAAAACTATGATAACTTTTCTGAACACATTTAAATTTTGTTTCACAGAAAAAAAGTTTTCCCCCACTCTACACTACAAACATTACATGGAATCGCTTAATTAGTATAAAGTCATTCCATCTGTATGCATAAGCATTCAATAATTAGAAAAGAAAGTTTTGTGACAATAATAATTATCAAAAATATATATTTTCAGCAGAGTAACATTTAAACATTTATCCACTGAGAGAAAATACCATAACATAGAAGTCGTCTAAATTTAGACAACTACTATGTCCAAAAGACATAGAACCAGGCAAACACACGATACTATTTAAATCTAAATATACTGTATGGTTTTATGAATAGACTGGAAACAAGAGAGAAATATAATGCATCTAATTTCGTCTTTAAATGAGAATAATACAGCAACACGACCTGAAGAAACACAACAGTTTATGTCATGCAGCAAGTGCGCTCAAGTGACTCTAGTGACTGGCCAGATTTTTTCCTCATACAAATAAAAATCAAACACATGGTCTATAAGCAGCATGACGCTCGCGGACGCTTTAAATCTGCTGCACAGATCTATTTACAAGATCAAAACTCACCTTAAAAATTAGCCGAAAGGCAGACGTTTGTAAGTGAGCGCCAGGAAAGGCTTGACTCATGAATGTTAATTAAGTATAACGTCAGCACGTGCTAATTAATATTCATAAGGAATGTTTTTCAGCATAGTAGGAATAAAAACAAAATCTCTTGCAGGAGGCAGAGACTATGTAGCCTAGAGATTATTGCCACCTCCGCAAATCATAATGAGATGTTTCATGGGTTAAATGGATATACCACAGCACTGAATGTTGACCTAGTCATCCTATATCATGTTTATACAAATGGCTGTAAAGTAAATGTATGGTATGCTTTAAAATATGTATTTAATTGAACAAATTATGGAATTGAACACTTGGGGTCGTGTGTTTATCGCCAAAACCGTGTGTTTATCCACCTATTTCCTGTTAATGCGCCAGACTTCCGATTCATTAGCCACTATAAATAAAAATAACTAAAAGAACAACAAAGTGCAGTAAACTGTAGCTTATTATTTACACTAGAAACCACTATGTGTATAATTACAATCATAAAGTAAAATAATATGATAACAAATACCAGCTGCAATATTTAACATCGTAACAAACTGCTTTTGAACAGCTAAAATAAATGGAGCAGCTGACACCAAAAGCCTTGCAAGGTGAAAATGGCTTAAAATAAGGTGGATAGGAACAAACAAAAAAGTACTTCAAAAACACCACCTTTTTTTCGACAACCTCTATTCTACAAGAAAATAAAAATAAAAATAGGTCCCAAGCTTTAGTCATTGCAACGCAACAGGTAGCCTGCTGGTCAAGGTAGTCAATGGAACGATACAGATTCAGGTGAAATCCCTGCTGTTATCATTTATAACTGCTAGAGTTGAACACTTTTCCGCCAGGATACACTGAAAGGTTGATGAACCGATCAATTTGTGTGCAAGAGTTCATCAAAGAGGTGGGCATCCCAGAGATGAAGGTAGATGGCAAAAACTGCTGTGAGGTCTGGACCATCATTTTACAGTAAGCCACGTGATAAACAAACCTTATCATGGCAGAGGCTGCAAAATTACTGTAAGTCATTCTGAAAAGGTCAATTAGAGTACCAATTCAGTCAAAATCAGTTAGTCGTAAAGGTAGTTGACAGTAGTCAACCATAAATCATATAGTGCAATCACTTACAATTTGTACAGTACAATTTACAGTACTTGACCGTAAACTCTGCTCTACTCTCACAATTTAAAGAATCATCAAGAATTCATCAATCGCACCTTTTGATACACACTAGAACAGTGGTTCTCTACTTTTTTAGCATTTTAATTAGAATAATTTAGATTATTTATTTCTTTAGTTTTATTTTATTATTTTTTTTTTTTTAGCTTGATGTAGTTTTAGTTTTATTATTTTTAGCTTCGGTCCCCTGGTCAATAACCACTGACCTAGACATGTCAGAAAACATCTTCGTAGAAACAACCTTGTTTTCCATTCTGAATTTAGCTCACAGTCTGTGCTTTTAAAATTTTGGATGGCTTAATGCTAATTAGTGACATAATAGTGAGTGCCACACAATTTTACAATATTTTAATTTGAGTCAGCTCATGTCTTTTTTTTTTTTTTTTCTTAGGTATGTGATGATAATTAAAGTGGTATAATACATATTATGCTATGTCATGCTATCATTTCATTCATTCATACATTTTTTGAGGTGTGTGAAAATATGGCAGTAGCTTTTGTCCTTCAAATCTCTGACCTTTCAAATTGTATTTATAAAAAAAATAAAATAAAAAAAAATTCTAATCCAAACAAAATTATATACTGTAACATCTCCAAAGCTTTTGAAAAGCTGGGCAAAATTCATATTTCACTTTGTTCAGCGTCAGACTGATACAATGTTGGTTTGGCATTTCTGTATATATCTAGGGAAGATAACACTGCAGTGGCCACAGGAGTGCAGTATTGAGCTAACACACAGCCATGGCCACAATCAGTGGAGAAACTGTCCAATAATTGTGTGAGTGATCTGGTTGTGGGACTACTTGGTTCAAGTCATGGCTCTATCTGAAACGTGCCCGTATACCCATAGTGCAATATTTGAGGCGACTGGCATTTGCACTTGTGTCCAACACCATAATGAACATTATCAAGTACACTCATTCACCTGAAAAAAAATAAGTGTACAACTGCTAGCTACTAGAGAATACGCATGCACCGTTAGCATCACACCAAATTAATGTCTGCATCTTGTCTGAAGCTATTCTGATTTTCATTCACTCCTTCAAGTAGACTATATTAGTGGAGTAATAGGGAAGCGTGGATGAGGGTATGTGGGTGATTTCAGATACAGCCCAAAAGTGTGTCTGACTCAAGACAAGTTTGAGCAAATTATTACAAAGAATAAAACTATTAACACAAATATTTATTATAGAAGGGGGGAAAAAAAAAACAGCTGATACGTTAACCCTTATATTGTTCCACTCATTTTGACCCAAAGAGGATTTTCTTTTTTCCTCAATGCTAGTTTATGTTAAATATTTGTACTTTTTTGGTGATTTTGAAAACCTGTGCTAATTGAAAGAAAACAACTTGAAAGGAGACTGAATCATGGTGATAATATAGCATAATGAGAGATTTACAAGCAAGGTTTAATTGCTTGGAATGCCAAATTAGGTAAATGTCATTTGGTTTTTAGATCTAGATTCAAGTTGGTTTAAAGCAGTGCTTCTCAACTGGTGGAGACCAAAATTGGATGACAAGTCTGTTGTGATAGGACAAAAGAGAACTGAAATATGACCAGGCTATTTAGTTGCAACATGATTTGTGTAGTCCACAATGTCACCCAGCTGTTTACAATTGTTTAAGCATGCTTAGACTATTACCACCTTAGTTACTTACATGAATAGGCTGCATTTAACTATGACGCACGTTCGGAGCATGCAATGTTTGCCTGTCCTACATTATACTTTGTAGGGCATGATAACTTTTCATAATTATGAGGTCAGAGAGTGTTCTACCGAACAGGGAGAGTGTGGACTCATGATTAAACCTGTCTGGCTAAAAATGATCAGTAAAGTAGGCTAAAAATCTTCTCTGCTGGTGCTGAGGATGTAGAAAATGACAACCTTTAACCC